ATACAAAAAAGTTCAGAAGGTTTCTCTGATGTAAGTCACCGTTTTTAATTGTTAAACCGATGCTAATATTTCTAAAAAATCTTGTATTTTTTGAAATACAGAATTTTTAGAGTGCTGTATAGAGAATTTCGAAATGAACCGAAAATACTATATTTGATTTTATCTCATCTTTGTGAACTTTGGAAATATTCATTCTTCTTTCCGCAGGATAAACCATCTCAATATTGTGTATATCATTTTCCAAAGGCTGTTCGACATTTTGTAGTTTATGACTAAATATTGAATGTCTTACAACAATAACATCAGAAAACATAACTAATTACGTAAAATGACTTTTTTCTGAGGCTAAATATCCTGATACAAGGTCTGAGTATATGAACACCATTACAGTGATGCTATATATTTGTTGAAGCGCCTATATCCAGAAAATTTTTCATTTGCGAAGCCGAACTGTGGTTGAAACAGAACTTGTTAAAAATAACAATAATCTTTGTCGAAGACACATTACAAGTCAGGAAAATTATGTGATTCAGAGAGAGTATTTATCAGAATTCTTACTACCTAGAAAATAAGCTTGATATTATTCAAGTTGAAATGGAGAAGTATGAAGTTGATATTGCTTCTGTTATGGACCATTGGTCATTATGGCCAAGTTTCTGTCAAGCCTAGAAAGTATAGTTTAAAAGTAATTATTTCAAATCAAACGTTTCTTCTTCTTCCCTTAGCGGATGTTTAAAAAAGCTCTATACATAAACTCCACTACGAAAATTTCACTGGATTCATAGCGCTGTCATAATTATATGGTTGTAAACACTGATCTTGAAAAATGCGTAAATCTCTAGACGTCTTGTGGTTAATTATTCTGTGTGGACTTTAGGAATACATATGCATATTCATTATATCAGATAATCAATTTGTTTATTTTAGTTAGGATCCACTGTGAATACAAGAAAGCTATGTAAATGTTCAAGCACTCATACCGCTTTTACTATTTATTTTGATTGTACGGTTGTTCCCAATAACCATTTCTTTCTTCTATTATTCATTTCAGTGGTGTTTTCCTTCGCCAAGTTGATATTATCGTTACTTTTCGATTGGGTATTTGCATTCCCTAACAAATTCATTTTTTGTCATAATGAGTTGGACCCCGTCAGTACACAATGTTGTTTACATAAACCTTCACAATGAACTTTTTGTACAACTGTGACTTTTTAACGGCTATAAAGAGTATTAAAAGAATATGTTTACAAAGTGGCGTGTTGAAAATATTTTTAACAGAAGGGCGTAATGCAATGTATTTATTAAAATATAGTCAATGTTTTTTTTCAAAAATGCAAAAATAACTACCTATTTTCGTGTTTGTATTAGGAATTTGAACAATCAATGCTTTATCCATTAATTTAACGTCTTCTATTAATAAATGGAACAGCTCTTCACTGCTTCATGAACACACAATTCCTTCCTATGGTTCTTCATTACACAAGACATTAAATACCAGCAAGAACTTTAAATGTGACTTTGAATAAAACATCAAAACGTCCGTATAATATAGTTTTCAGAACATTTTATGGAAGGTCCTTCAAATTTCTGATTGAACACATTTCAAATATATATATACGATATTTTTTCCTAATGTAAAAGAATCTCCACCAACCTTATCGGTACCTGGTTCTGTGTGGTTTGGATGCATTTTTAATATGGTGTACTATTATTCATCGTATACTTATCAAAAATGTCGTAGTCAAAAAGTCCAGAAATGGAAAGTTTTCGAAATATAAAAAACGGAAGTAATCGAAAAATGGGACAATCCTTGAAGCTGTCAAATATTTATGTGGCCTTCTATTTCTCCTCACCAATCAAGATATAAGCTAGATCTATCTCAAGTTTTTGAGGTAAAGGGCTTAGTAAGGTCTGTTCTCCTCTGCTTCTGGAGTTTTTTCCTGATTTGACCTTCAGATACCCTTGATTCTGAGCCACTTGCGTCGAAATGAATACAGCGACCTCAAAAATGAATATTAAATATATTCTCGTTTGATTCTGGAAGTTTCTTTCGATTTGATAAGAGAATGTCCATTAAATATTCGAGAGATAACCAGAACTTCCGTTCTGGTTATCTCTAAAAATGTACATTCTGGACTTTGTGCCTATGTACACTCCTGATCAGGACAATGAAAAGTACAACATATCAAAAGTGCATCCAAAACCACCAGAAATCAGAAACTACAAACAAACATTTGAACTTGATCTGCAAATTAATGATTTTTGCAAAAAAAAAATTATTTTCAAACTGTTGAATGATACCTATTCCAGTTACCGATATCCCAAGCGGAAAGTAGTTGTTTACATTTCCCACAATCTATTGAAGGTGTAGTGTAGAGGATGAAAAAGAAAATTACTTTCAACACTAGCAAAATACACTAATTTGACACTAGACTACATAATTGAATAATTGATCAAATTTATCTCAATCGGTTTTCAAGTTTCCAACAGAAATTAATTCATGAACATACATTGTAGTTGAATGAAGCATGTGCCGTCAGGGGTCAGTAATAATTACTTGGGTTATTGAAACTGCAAAAAAATGTTATCTCCACTTAAAACATAACATAAATTTCCACTCGATAGCAACCGAATGACCTGATCCTCTTCGATCTTCCTGTTAGAATTTAATAATGTTCGATGTGTCAGAAAAATTTAATTATAATCAAAACTTTTCTTATCGATAAAAATGATTCGTTGATGCTCGATATGTAACAAGTAAGACTTTATCAGTAATTATTTTAATTATTTCACCTTCTGTGAAAAACATTTTTGGCACGAAAATTTATTTCTCATTTGACGTATTTTGAAAACTTTTTTAAATGGAAATTGGGAAAATGAATAGTTCCAAATGAAATTCAAAACAATTAAAGAGAACAAAATCTGGGCTGGTTTGCCCTACTGAAATACCAAACTTTCCTAGCCGGAAAGGTGAATGACGAATAAACGGTTATTTGATGTTTTTTTCAAACCACCGAGTCACATTTTTATTGAAAATTTATTAGATACGAACCAAATGACACACTGAGTTCAATACAAAACACTCTCAAGAAGAGAAAGAAATGAAAAATGTATATTTTAGTGGACAAAATTAGAATTGTAATAATACTGAAAATTAGATGATTTTCATAATGTCTTCCATTCTCGTGTTTTAAAGAGGTCCCTTAAACATTTTATTAATTATTTCAATTTTAAAATTGACTATTTTTCCTTTCAGTTTTTTGACTAGTATCTAATAATTCAACGATAGTCATTTGGAGGAAAATCAGTTTTCATCGACCTTTTTTGGGTGTTTTTTACCTTCCACAATCTGAAAAACTCTGAAAATTATAATGGAGAACTTTATACAAGTGTAGAAAGGGCAAACTTTTTAGTTTACCCCGATGAGTTACTGCGTAAAATCGAAGTATTTTTCACGAAGAAAAGTGTTTTATTTATCAGTAACTTGTCGTATTTAACAGATTTTCTTATCAAAAAAAAATCAATTTTTTTGATAGGCATATTTTTCAGATTATGGAAGGTTAAAAATACCCAAAAAAGGTCGATGAAATATTGAATAATGATTCGTACACAACATGTACTCGTAAATGCCGAAATGAAATCAAATAAATTGAAACTGAATTGAACTGTACATTCATTCAACAAGAAAAATCATGAAAATAAGTTATCAATTAAAGTAAATTTCAATCAATGATAGGATTATTTTTGTTTTGTTTTTGAAGAACACTCATAATCAGTTACTGTTCAATTTGACATGTTTTCACGAAGGAGTAAATTTGAACCAATGAGCCAAATTTCATTTTCAAATCAAAGTATATGTGTAAAAAATACCAACTTTTTCAAATTATTTTTTTTAAATTTCAGTCAAAAATGCTATGATGCCTCCTTTCGACAGCTATTAAATGACAATCATGATTGTTATTTATTATCGGTCGAATCGAAAACAGAATTCAACACCCTGAAACTGCTAAATTCTGTCTAGAAAAGAACCACCCACCTGAAAGTAGCCTTGATGGTCTGGAATATGGAAACAATATAGGAACTAGTCTCTCTTCTCTGAATACTTCTGTGTGACTCACCTAACTCGCACAAGTTGCGACTTTTGAGGGTTTTCAGATTCAAATATTTTCAGAAATAAAGTTTTTTGGCTTTCTGGTTCACAAACAATCGAGTACTATTCAACTTCAAGCAAAAAACAGAGATTTTTGGTATGAAAATAATCTTGAATCACAAAAACTAATCTGTGCTAAAAAATATCTTCCCCTTCAATTCAAATATTTTTACTTGTGTAGGATAATTTGAATAATGTTACGCTTATTCATTGAATTATGGCTTATATATCTGATGAACAGACTCTGAATTGGATAAATTAATACTCATCAACATACTATAATTCGAGATTATTTTTCTAATGCTCCAAGAAAGTTTGTGACTACTAAATATTTAAATGATAAAAAAATAATTTAGTTTTTGTGGATCACGAAAACTTATGACACAAACAAAAAACTCTATATTTTACTTCAATAGAGATTATTGGTTGAAAGATTGAGTATATGAAGTTTATATTTATTGAATTTGTTGAATCATACTCATATATGAAACCAAAATAATTATTTTTAGTATTAAAGTGATATCTGTAATCATATTTTCACAATGAAATTTAGTATTGCAAAAGGTTATCACATAATGTAAAATTGTTCTGAATTGATCCATACTCGTGTTAATAATACCAATAGAAGAATAAACAATTTATCCATTCATGATACAATTCTTTACTTACTTGATTTATCTCATGCCAAATATTGAAAAGGTTACGTCCATGAAATCTCATGAATTTTTCAAAAATGTAAGTTCAAATATGGGGTTAACGGTATTGTCATGATATTATTGAAGCTTGTAGATTCCTGATCGTTACTCGGAAGCACCTAATGAGGTCAACATTACCAAAATAAAATAAAAAATTATGTATGAATACTAACAAATGTGTTTACTTATTTCCACTAGACAATTTTATTTACAGTACAATAACGTAACATATATTATATCTTATTGACACAACCTTTCAGATTCAGAAAACACCTGATTGATATAAAAATAGATATACGAAAGAAACAACTAATAAAGGAAGATATGCCATTCACTTTGAGTGATATGATAACAAATCAAAACTTTGAACGAAACTCTCAACAGTCTTAATCCCTAACTGAAAATGGATTGTGCGAATCACTCCTTCAAATATTGAAGTCACTTTTTGTAGAGTTCACGGTACATCTTTATCAGTTTTTATGAACCGTGGGGCCGAAAATCACTGAATCCTTCGACCCGGGAAATGATGTCATAGGTAAAACTCCGGTGAACTCTGCCCGTCGGAGTTGAGGCTGTTGCTGAGGTGCGGGGGCCTTCCAAGCTGCAGCCTCTGCTTCAGCAGATCTCTCTCCTGGGAAACCCTGGCTAGCTCCGACTTCAGTCTGTGCAGTTCGAGTTGGAGATTCCTGTTGGTCAGCTCGAGGTCCTGTCTTTGCTGCAACCTCTTCGATCGGCAGTTTTGCGCGTAGCCCCTGTTTTTGAGCGTCCTCCTCTTCTGTTTCAGCCTCACGATTTCCTCCCGCGGACACCCGTGTAGCCTCTTGTTGAGTTCTCTAACCGACAACGACATCAACATGTCGTCGTTCAATCCGATGTCTTCTGAGCAGGTGGAATAGCCACTGTTGTGGTTCAGCCTCGGAGAAAGAGCACTCGCCCCGGAACAAACCGATAGCGGCCTTTGGTTGTGGATAATATGATGGTTGGGAGTGTCGAGAATCATTCCCGATGGAATGTACTCCCTTCTTTCCCAGTCCGGTTCGCCGCCCATGCAGTGTAGGGGTCGGAGGTCGAGAGGCTGTGGATCTGCTCGCATACTCTGGGGAAACCACAGCATCTCCTCCATCATGCCAGGGGGTCTACAAGGAAGCGGGGAGTTGTTCGGGGGGGTGTCGGGAGGCGTTCCAGGGTCGTTCATCAGCGACATATTCACTAATACTGGTTGTTGAACGTACATCGATTCGGGTGGAGGCGAAGGTATCCTTTTATCGTCCCATTGACTCCTGCACAGCCTGCTGGACGAATCCTCCTGCTGCAACCAAGTAGTGTCGGCGTCAATCATTTGACGTTTGTCCTCGCGTTTAACAGTCACATCCTCGAAATGGTCTAACACGAAGTCCTGCACATATTCCTCAGCCAAGTTTTGGGTCTCCTCCATCACGAACACTGACTTTATTCATAAGCACTGCACCCGGCACTGGCCCGTGGCTTTTACTTCCGCGACGGCGGTTGAATTGGGTTTGGGAGCAGAAACTGAGCTCTGGAAAGTCCGGCTGGAAGGGGCGGCGACTGGCAAGCGCCGCCCCTCTCAGCAGGATAGGTGCCAGCGATTTCACTACGGAAATTTGTTTATACCTCAATAGCCAGTCAACACTGAGAAAATTCGAACCATATTGTTGTAAAAGTGAGCTTTATTGTGGACATGTTATATGCTCATGTTTCACGGAGAGTTTGAGCTTCCTTTTTATTGGGATCGCCCTCGTTTGATTTGAAACTGCGACCTTTATCTGATCTGATTAGATGGTTTTCTGATATATTCGCTTTTCACTTATTACGTACTTATTTTATTCAAAGGAATCTGTGACATGGGGATTATATTCTACGGGGAATTTAATAAATCGTTAATCGCTTCTTTGGAAATTATTTTCACTGTGCGTTTGACCACGAAAAACGAATTCAATGTCAGAGAAAATCATTACCTGATAGTTTAAATTATAATGAGTGAGAAAGAATTACTTTTCATTCTTAGTGGATATTTTTTGCACAAATGTAACCAGGTTCCATAAAAAATATCACCATTTTCTAGAACTCTTGAAAATGTTGAAAATTGTAATTTTTCTGAAGAATAGAAATGGAAATTTTCGGCTAAAGTTGAAAAAATAATCATATAAAGAATTTCAGTTCGAAAATTTAAATCCTTCATATCTTCCTTCAAAAAAATAATGATATGGAAAAGTGGAAAGATACTTCAATTTTATTCCTGAAAGGGACATTATCTTTGTGGGATATAAGTTACTTTCAGAATGTAGAAGCCAAGAAGTACATCATTCAAAATTGCTTTCAATTAGTTTTCTGAAGAATAGAAATGGAAATTTTCGGCTAAAGTTGAAAAAATAATCATATAAAGAATTTCAGTTCAAAAATTTAAATCCTTCATATCTTCCTTCAAGAAAATAGTGATATGGAAAAGTGGAAACATACTTCAATTTTATTCCTGAAAGGGGCATTATCTTTGTGGGATATAAGTTACTTTCAGAATGTAGAAGCCAAGAAGTACATCATTCAAAATTGCTTTCAATTAGTTTTTCGATTACCTATCAGTTCTTGAAAAATCGTATTCGAAAATTACAGAAATAAGCAAAAATTGTTCTTCATCTTCATACAAAAAAGTGGGAATCTTCCAAAAAAGTAACTTTCAGACAAAAACTGGAAGAAAAATCCCTTTCGAAACAACTATTTTCATATAAACAGTGAATGTCAAAACTAGGAAGAGACTTGAGAATTCTATTTCGGAACAAAAAAGTGGGAATCTTCCAAAAAAGTAACTTTCAGACAAAAACTGGAAGAAAAATCCCTTTCGAAACAACTATGTTCATATAAACAGTGAATGTCAAAACTAGGAAGATACTTGAGAAATCTATTTCGGAATAAGACACTTGCCTTATTGCCTCTTCACGAAGAAAGGTTTGTCTACATTGAGGGTGTACTTCATTGTATCGTCAGTAGAAATTTTTAAAACAGCAAAAATATCCTAAAAAAAATTATAATGTAATTAATTAGTGAAATATCGATTTGGGTTCGTCAAATGATACATATGCAGTCTTCATTTTCTTACTACTTCTATGAAAATGTTTTAAAAGTAGAAGGTTTTTAAAGACAAGAATTATTCACAAAATTTCAACGATTTTACCAAATCATTTAATCGGTTTGACTTGTTGAACTGTTTAGCTACAATTTTAATTATTATTAGATCTCTTGGAGAGCCTGCCAGTTCGTCAAGAACAGTAGCAGAGCAGATGGGATTATTACACGAGAGAGAACCACTGAAAATAGTATCCCCCTAATGCAGTTTTGTATCAACACCATTGTCCATTTCATCTGAATTACGATGTGAGTAGGTAGACTAAATTGTCGCTACTTGTGGCAATCTGTAGGTGCCTTAATATGATTGAAGACGCTGTCTGTCAATCCTCTTATAACTCATGAGCTTCTCAAATTGTTACAGAAAGTAATCAACTCTGGAAAGGGACTATTACACATTTTCAGCGAATGATGCTCCACCACACCAATTTTTTTCTCATCCAACACTAATTGATTGAAATTTTTCAAGACAAAGAAGGACGAAAACATCCCCCTTTACTAGGTCGCCATCTATGGGATCGCCAGAGAACTGAAGGCGGTCAGTTGCAAAACCAAGCTCAACCACAAATGCATTGCTGGACTCAACTGTCCTTAAAGGAGGAGCTTAAGTAAAGAAGGATAGACGGATAGAGGTGAGTGGAGCAAATAAATGACCATGGAGATCACAGAATCCAACTCCTTTAGACTTTTCTCTTCTTAAGTCTTTCATTGGATCAGAAAGGAGTACGAAAGCCGACTACTATTGCTGTTTGGACTACAGTGGACCACATTTGCAGTAGTTTTTGATTTTGATTGACATCCTGTATAAGAGGTATGAATGGAGAAAAAATATAAAAACTTCTTACGAAACATGTATACATATAGAATCATCCATAAATGATTCTTTTAGATACAAATATTTGCATAATTATTCAATTTGTATATCAAATTGACCACAGTATAGTACATACGAGGTTAACTCGAATGACATAGTAACTAAGTAGTTACCGAACGTCGGCAGTTTCTTTGTATGGCATGGGCGGCGTGGTATAGGTGTTTTTCTAAATTATTTTTATTTTTCATAAACCTACACAGATTCTTTTCATTAGTAGTAAAGAGTAATGTTTCGTCCTTTTACATCACAAATGTTCACACACTGTAGAGTTTTTGTTCAAACAGACGTGTTCTATGAATACCTGATTTTTTTTATTCAATCTCGTTTGGGGTTTGCATCTTGAATTTATGAGTTTGACAACTCCAGTAATTTCTATAAGCTCAAGTGTTGAATTTTTATAATTGGCACCCCTGTTCATTCAATTACCTCACCATTCAGCTTATCTACAAACTCCCCATATAACCATATTTTTAGATTTTAAATTGTACCTATTAGTTAGTTTTCATACTTGATACCTTTACTGAAAACTAGACGACAAATAATAGCATCTTGCTCTGGTGGTCGAGAAGAAATACATCAGATTCATTATATTGTATGAGCCTGAGGATGAGGAAGGAATGGTTCCAACAAATTCGGTACTTCTCATTTCCCACAACGGGCTCAATATCCATCGGAGCGTAGGGCGGCACCTTTGGGGTCGCGTTATGTCGACGGATATAGGCTGAGTCGCCCATCATGCTGTATGGAAAAAGTCAAACAAAGGGTTTAATACAAAATGCATATATGGTGCAGCATGTGAGTGGATAATGCATTTTTTTTTCCAAATTTTGAAGTTACTTTGTTGAGCTACCCATAAGATGAAATGTATCATAAATAGCTTTCAACAACTTTTACTTTTACAAAAATAACAAACTTTCAGTATATTTACACAATATTAGGTTAGAATAACCATCTTAATTGAAAGTTGCAGAAGACCTTTAATGAAAATTTTATACTCACTGCCTTCGCCAAAATCTAGAATAAACAAGGTCTTAATTGAACTGTACGATTAAGTAATAATTCACTGCAGATGTTAACGTGGTTATTGAGCTTCAGATATGATTTGATAAGAAAGTTCCTAGAAGAGGAATATACCCAAAGAAAACTAAAATCCATAGTGTTAGTAAATGAAAATAGTAAAAACAGGTCAATCATTATAAACTTTTCGATTGGATATTTTGAATTCATCATGTATTTCAATTGATACACTGATATAATGAAACGGAACAGTTACAACAATTTACCCAGACCACGAATCCAGTAACTAAAAAATAAATTGGGTTTTATTCCATAAATTTCGAATTGGCCCGCAAGTCAAATATTCAAGTAGAATTACTTTTGTTTGAGAAGTGATGAAGAAACTTCATGAAAGTTAAGTTGTTTTTTCAATCAATGAATCATTCATTCACCAGAAGAAACATGAATGTTCATAACAGGTACCTTAATTATGTTTATAAAACTGAATAATAACAGAAATTAATATATTTCTGACACGTGTTTCAATCACCAAGTGACCATCACCAAGAGGAAGATTATTCTTCCATCCATTACTACTCCATATTATTAGATCTCTTGGAGAGCCTGCCAGTTCGTCAAGAACAGTAGCAGAGCAGATGGGATTAATACACGAGAGAAACTCACTGAAAATAGTATCCCCCTAATGCAGTTTTGTATCAACACCATTGTCCATTTCATCTGAATTACGATGTGAGTAGGTAGACTAAATTGTCGCTTCTTTTCATTTCCAAACGTCTTGTCTTTAGTTGAAGTGAGCAAGATGTTTTGAAGGCTACTTCAGGGTTGAGTTGAAAAACAGCTTCAACCCATTCGTCAAAGATTCTCTTCAATTAATGTAAATACAGTCCTTTATCTGTTGTGATGAATGAATAAGTCAATTATTTTTATTATCACTACTTTTTCAACTTATTGAAAATGCAGCGCCTTTGTAATAAATAAGTGCATGATACTTTTGATAGTTTCGGAGATATTAAAGAAAAAGACAAAGAATCACAAAAACTTCAGCCCTCCAATATAAAATAGAAGTTCACAAAATACTTCGAATGGTCCTCAATTGAATGAGGATGAAACTGTAGCATCAACCAATTGGATACACTTTTTCAACACTCCAGGTATCATGTCAGCATTTCTCATTCCAGAGAACATGAATCCAAATGTCACGAATATAAAGCAGGAAGAAGAAACAAATTTCAATTTAAAATCCACCCTCCGCAACAGGTCGTTAATATATACCTCAATAATAGGCATTAAAATGGTTGCATTGGGATCACGTCATCTTCATGTCATATGTCTCTAGGGGCCACCATAAATAATCGTTGTCATTTGGAACAGATTATCTAATAAGTCAACATACATACTATCATCCAGACAGCCCCAATAATAATGGTGTATTGTTCTGCGAGTGAATGACAATACTGAGGGGTTGCTCATTCCTCGACATTTTCCGCAATCAGTTGCAAACCCTCTAATTGACAGAAACGAAAAAGTATTAAAGATCACAATTGTACTATCGAGTATATACCTGATGTCCAAAGTTCTCGGCCCACAGAAATATTCAACTATTTTTATTGAAATTGAAAATTATTTTCGCAAATAACTGAAGGAAAATTATAAACATGCCCTTCTCATTTTCTCCCACGTTATCTGCAATACTGACATTGTGTCTAGTCGTAGGTAAAGACCTTATAATATGTATTTTTTACTGATACCTGTTTTGGAATTTGCCTTCGACATCAGTCTCTGCTTCAATCAAAATGAGAGAAAAATAAAAATTATTAATATACACAAAATCCAAAAGTTTTTATTTTCGAAGTATCGCATGCTCAAAGTTTTCAGAAAAGGATTTTCTGAATTCCGTCTTCAGCTCATGGGCAAAATTTCAGCTCAATATGATAATTTTAAACCTTTTGCAATGACTGAATATAACCTACATAATATTACTTCTCAATTTTCATATTTTCTTTCAAGGAGAACCGTATTAAATGTGCGTTTTTCAACAAAATTGGTCATAAGGTATTGTGATGTGACATAGAATAGAGTTTTGTAAACTCTTCAGTAATTTTATAAATGTATTAACTGTATTCACAATAAAATGAAATTTACAATGGAAGTTGAAACCAATAATTCGATAAACTCTTCAGACCTAACAATTAGAAAAATTAGCAACAAACATGAATTCGTAATTTGTCACAAACTAAGCCAACAATAAACTACCATCAACATAAATTAACAGCTTACCATAATATGATCCACAGACTCATTAGGTAGTATTCCGATGTCCACTAAGATTTTCAATAAGGAACTGAATTTGATTAAACACATTGCACTAAATAACAATTTCAACCCAAACATGAGTCATTAAATCTTAAAAAAAACTATCAAACAGGCAATTAATAAAGTATATCCACACATTGAAGCTAATACTTAACCTACAAAACACTCATAAATATCGGGAAATCGTCGGATTGTGCCCAAAAGTTTATAAAGGAATAACGTGTCAACCTGCTAAAATCCCTGGATATCATTTAACGAAACTAATAACTAATAATATTGAACAACAAACAAGAAGTTAATAACTCATTCTTTTTGAATTTGTTTCCATGAAGTTCCGTTAATTAAGTATTAATCATAGACCTGTTTACCTAAAATTATCTGTTGCATAAAATGCATTATTGAATAGTTTACTGTACAGTTCAATTGATGAAGCGACTGTGTAGCGAAACGCGTCTTTAGTCATATTATTAGTATGAAAATTATTTCGTTATCATGAATGGTAAGTCCTAGGAAGCTAAAATTTGATATATAGGTGCTTCTTAGGTCTTAGATGCACACTTAGAAAGGATTTTCAAATATTTCAACTGGGGGTAAAAGGGACGCGTTTCCATACGACATTTATTATAGTAAATATATTTTAGTTCCTCGTTCAATGAGTATCATCTTACAAATTTTGATTATTGATTATTCTTATAACGCCATAATAAATTTTATCTCAAATATGTGTTGCAATATCCGATTGATTTGAATTGTTATTGAAAAATTCGTACATGAAGTTAACATAATCACCAGTCAATGAAATCACTACAATGTATGTTGTTAATTGGTATGATAAAAAAGAAGAATCTGATGAAAGGTTAGAGGTCGATCGTTATGCAAATAATTTAGAAGGATACAATTTGAAAATTCTACCACTATTAATTTTATGTTTTCAAGTGGTGACTCGAATTGATTAGACCCTCTTATTACTTCAAGAGCACAGAATCAGGTTGAGTATTATACAGTACGTCCAACTTCAGGAGAGATCAGGAAAAAAATTATTCTTTATTAATATAATAATCATTTATTTTCTTAAGACAGTTACAAAGCATATGGAAAAAGTCAGTTACTGACATTTAAAATACAATAATACTAAAAAATTGATTTCACCGTAAATTGCCACGACAAATATTCATCCAGTTTATAAAAACTATGTTCTGTCAAAAAGGATTTCAAATTATGTTTGAATGAAGCAGTTTTTCACATTTGAAGGAAGAGCATTGTACATTCTAAGAGCCATATGATTAGGAGATTTTCAATTGCAAATAGAATTGAAAAAATCACTGTTTTGCCTTGTATTGAAACTATGATTTTCTTTGTTTCTCACATATATTTCATTTTAAGCTTGTTTAAGTATTTTTCGAAAAATCATTCATTTCCGGGCTATATTTATTACATTAGCACTGATTTTCATTTTCTGTAAATTGATATTACAATAATTAAATTGAATGAATAATATTCGAAATTAATAAAATCTGGCCTTACTGACAGAATCAGTCGTTGTTGAGACCCCTCGCAGTCATCGCAGGAGACGCATGTTTGGCACAGTAGAAGACGAAACGTTTGATACTTCAGGTTCCATTTGACTTCGGCCCAACCACCCGAATTTCGTTTTCAATCTTTACTCCGGTTGTAAAGCCTATGTTTGTGAGTAGTTTCTTCCGGCAATAATCAATGATTTCTGTGAGTATGACATATACAGTCTAGATGTCGCCACCCCATCGTTTCCCGGTTGTCCAGTAAATAATACGACTGTCTAATTTTTTTCAAAGAATAGGCGGTACGGTGAGGAAAAGAAGAAGAAATTGTATTAACCTTAACCTCAACAACCATCAACTTTGCCGCTGTTAAAGTTGTTATAATAATTTTATATTTGAACAAACAAGGGCTATAGTTGAATTTTTTCCAGCTGAACAGAAAAAAAAACATACAAAATGTCGACTGCTATGCCAATTAATCCAAAACCATTCCTGAATAGCCTAACTGGTAAGGCTGTTATGGTAAAATTGAAGTGGGGACATGAATATAAAGGATACTTGGTATCTGTTGACGGTTATATGAACCTGCAGCTGGCTAATACAGAAGAGTACATTGATGGGAGTGCTACAGGTAATTTCTTACCAGTTAAATATGAAATACTTGAGCATACCACACATCCAGATGAAATAAACATTGTTTAGTAGTCATACTTGCATAGCATAACCTGCCATTTTCTTTGCGATTATCAAAAAAAGACATTAAGAATTATACGTCTACTTATCTTAACGTTTTGGGAGGATAAAATCTGCCTCCGTCTTTAAAATTGGACAAAATTTAGGTTTGTAAGAAGTTTTTTCTTCAGTGACTCGTTTTATTTCTCGATTTCCTCGATAGATGTAAAATAAGTCAATGGTGATTCACTCCTGAAACATTCGATATAGTACAAGGTGTGTTCTCTGATATCAGTCTCGTCATTTCGCCACTATTCATATTTCCCTTCAAGACGGGTAGCCAAGTACGTTCCATTTCTAAGCAACTATTCAAAATACACTTCTCTCCAGATATAAGAATATACGCTTAATCTTTAAGTTTACGTCTAAATAGCAAAAGGTCCATGAGTAGCCATCAGAAATAGACAATCAACAGTGGATCGTGTTCTTTGGGAAAATGAATAATTTATTGATGAATAGTTACCCCCTTTCAATATCAATATTTTTTTTATTTGAAATGAAAAAAATTGTCTCTATTTTACAGAAAAGTCAAAAAGTTCCCTAAGATTGTTTCAAGTATAAATAAAATCCTTCAAGTTATTGAGATTTTTCAGTATCATGGTCATATACAAAAAATGCCTTGTTTCCCACATAATGTACAATTTTTTTTTTCAGGAAACTTGGGTGAAGTACTCATCAGGTGTAACAACATATTATTTATAAGGGGTGCAGAAGAAGAAGATGAAGAAGGAGAAATGAGAGATTAATGTTTGAACATTGAGTAATATACAAACATTGTGCGATTTCTCATTAGTGTTAGGTATTTTTTTTATAAGAAATAATTTATATGACTTACTTGTGAAATAAATTATACATCTTTAGGAATGATTTCGTTTTGATATACTTCCAAGCTCACTCATATTTTACAGTTGGTCACCTTGTTTTACCACATACGATTGTTAGATGAGAAGATAAAAGTACACCTTGAAAATTGTCAGAAGTTTCAAAGCTCAAATAATCAATAATACCAATAAAATTACAATGTACATTATGATATATGTATTTTCCGATACATTTTGATTGGCACTTACTTTATTATCTTGCAGATGGTGAGATTCTGTTAGATGGAATTTTATCAGAAGAACATTAAATGGGCTTTGGGGTTCCAAAAGGTTCAGTTTTGGGACCGATGTTGTTTCTCATTTATGTCAATGACTTTAATTCATGTTGACATGAGTGGTGCGATTCCAATCTGTTATCATTCAACATCGTCTAAACAAATGTGGCCACGTTTAGATGTGGTACAGGGGAAGTATACTTGAAAAATGTAAAAATTGAATTAGGCCTCTAAATTGATGAAAATCCAAAATTTGAATCCCATGTCGACTACCTACTTATGTAAAAGACTAGCAACAAATAGATGCCATGCAGTGAGAGTTGTTGCAAGAGAGTTAGATACTGCTATTACAAAATCAGTTTATTTTGCACAAATTGATTATGAAGTTTGTTTCTAGAAAAATTGTGTACTGTTTCGTTACAATATGGTATTCTCTCTACAAAAAAGATCCATCAGATATGTGTGCAAGGCCTAGCTACAGGGATTGTGAAGCAAAAAATTCTGACCTTAGTATGTCTTTTTATTTTGGAAACAGTACGTCTTATCCACAAAAAATATAAAAATCAATTTAATACCACCTCAACTTATAGTACACATCAGTCTTACCTAATTTTCCTTCCAACACCTGTTCTAGCCCTTACCCAAAATTCTGTTCTTTTCAAAACCAAGGAGTTATTTAACTGCGAATACATAACAAAAAGAAAATCAGAAAAAAGTAAAAGAATTCCTTGTTGTGAGGACCTAATAAAGTGTGGACGAATTCAACCAAAGCTCTACCGAGTAATTGGCACGTAGAGTTTCTATACTAATAAAAATGTGAAAGTTTGGGAGGAGGAATGCATTTATGTTTGTTTGTGATTCTTTAACGCCTAAACGAATGAACGGATTTAGATGAAACTTTACAGCTTATACATCAGAATAACATATAGGCTACAATTTACAAAGATTTTGATCACAATATAACTGTAAGTATTAAGTAAGTCGGAAAAATTCTTGCTCCCTGAGATCGTTCTTGGTGTGTGCTGCCTATACCGTTGGAGTTACATGCAGATAATGTACCGTAAGATTGTTCATCTTATATAGTTCTAAATAAAAATCCTCTTATGTGGTAGTCACTATATACAAAATACTGAGCCATGAATACAATTGAATTGGATACTTTTTTACAACGCAAATTGTAGAATATCTGCCAAATTCTCATGAAAATTTACATAATTGTAGTTTTAAGTTTATTACAGATACATTTTGTCTTTTACACTAATTAATTTGGTTGAATCGGATGTTATCAGGATAAAATTAATTTGACGCAATGCAGTAAGCTCATACGCGTCGCGTCTACTGTAAGACGACAGGGGACCATGCGAGGGGGTTGAGGGGCGGTCTAAGCAATAAGGCGCCATTGCCGAGAACGCGAGCAGGATGTTAGTTTTGCGAATTTCTTTTTAGGTTTCTTTCTACTTTGAGAAAGTTGTGTGTATCACGTAAAACACCATTCAAGATTAAAAAAGTCCAGAATTTATTTCATACACTCTACTGCGCAATCAGCATCAAAAATACATTGCTTATACATTTGAACTTAATAATAATAAACTCCTAGTATGGCCTTGGTGGCCCAGGAGGTCCCCCTCGCATCATACCAGGTGGAGGTCCTCTCATTCCCATCGGAGGTGGAGGACCTCCTCGTCCCATGCCCATTTGAGGAGGCATTCCCATCATTCCTGGAGGGGGCCCCATTACACCTGGTGGTGGACCACCCATCCTTGGGGGACCTTGATTCATTTGGGGTGGGGCAGACACCTGTCCTCTTCCACCTGGTGTCATGACTTGCTGCGATGGTCCACCGACCCCTCTTACCGGTCCCTGCAAACCAACGGGTACTCCTCCCATTCCTGGGGGCATGCCTCTTCCGGAAGCTCTACCTATTCCTGGAAAAATTATAGTTATAATGCAGAGATGGAAACAAGATAAATAGCAGAGAAAAAAAGCAGTGGAGGCTAGTTATTCTTGAACGTTTCACATTCACAATTTAAAATGCAAAGGTTTCAACATTTACTCACAAGTATTATCACAAGTCAAAGAGTGAGTGCAAAAGAGAATTGAAAACTGCATCATCTTTGAAATAACTAATTATTTCCGTCAACAATATTAGCGAGGTTAGGTTAATTCTTGCGCAAGAGATCCATCTTCAAATGAATTCACGTTGGATTTGAGTCACAGTTCTCCAAATGAATGAGTCTTTTTCTTTCAGTTTGTCTCTGAAAGAGACTTCTTTGTATGCTGTACAAATCTCCATGAAAATATATGATGGAATTGGTCGATACTTGATGAAAGATATGCCTGAAGAAGCCATTGTGGCGAAACAAGTGTTGCGTTTTTGTAAAACTGTTTAGTGAAAATCTCATTTGGCCAGCGAAACAAACAATTATAGATGTAATTTTGTAATGGTATGGAAAAAGGGATTCCTATAAATTGATATGATGTAGTGGATACAATCTGCATGTGGATTGTATACAAAAGTCAAGTAACGACCACTCTTTATTATCAAGTATACATTTCGTAGAAGCTCTTAAAAAGCTGCCAAACTGAATCGAACCAAATCCAACGAAGAACATATCTACCCTAATTAGCTTTGAATTATATCCGATAAATACTTGTGATACGTTCAACGACAGGTATACAGTTCAAGTGCTTTCAAATTCTTATTACCTGGTCCAGGTGCTGCTCCTGGAATAGGAACTCTGGGCAAGCCCTCTTCAGGAGGTGGCGGGCCTTCCACAGTTAATGAGACAATACTCTCCCCTCTCACCAAAACAAACCCTAAAACTCGTTTCTCTTCCCTTTCCACTTTTGAATTCTTGGGTTTGATTTTACGAAATTCTTCACAATCACCTAGGATCATGTTCATATGTTTATCGAAAGCTTTGAAAGTTCCAATAAATGTTCGGGAATCCTGTAAAGTTACTCGTACCCTGTAGTTGAGGTGAGCCATCATCTTATTATTCTTGCCGATAGTCTAAAAAAAAATTATTGAAATACACGTATTATTAAATAAAGTACTGCATTTACCATTTTGAAAGGCTCGTATGGATCGCCGTACAAGTTAAATAGTCAAATTTCTGCAAAACTGCCGATAAAACCTAATAAACTGAAAATGAACCCTCACACATCAAACATTAATTGCCGCATTAACTATCGAATTCTTCTTCTGTTTTTATACAAATGCCAAATTGCCAAATCAAAAACAAGAGTCTTCTAACAATTGGAATTTGACTCTCATGTACTGGACGAGATAAATGCCTTACTTTTTATTACGTAATTCTGACTTTGAACTCAAAATTCAGACGTTATCTCATATAACCCAAAAAACCTGATTATATTTATAAGTGATAAATCTCATATTATTCAGAGTTTAAAGTCAGGAAACTAGAAATCAATGTCGAAAAAATATTAATTCGAGATTGAAGTCATGCCAGAAATGAAAACGAAAGCAGAAATCATTGTCAAGTGATGTATAACAAAATGAATGTCTGGAGTGTTTCTTTCCAACTCAACTGTGACGCGAGCTGAGTTTCAAATATAAAGGAAGACAAGTTTCAACTGTGTCGGGTGCCCATTTCCAACTATGACGGTGGCCGAGTTTCATAGAAAGTGTTATTGATTTCTATCGAATATTGTAGATCGGTGGCGAGAGCTAAGCTTCAAAGTCCAACTGTTTGGCGAGAGCCAGAGTCCAACTGTTACAGGAACCGAGTTACAATTGTGACAGGAGCCCAGTTCCAAATTTGACAAGAGCCATGTTCAACTGAGAAAAGGGAACAAGTTTTAATTGTTGCGGGAGCTGAGTTTCGACTGTGACGGAAGCCGAGTTAGGTTAGGTTGCGAGAACCGAGGTTCATAGAAAGTGTTATTAATTTCCATCAAGTAATGAATTAGTATGATGATAACAACCGAATAATTCTGTTGTAGGCATCTTCGACCGCTGAAGTGAGGCAAAAGTCATTGTGGCATTGAATTGTTGGCTTATGCATGAATCGCGTTGTATTTTCTGTGGTACATCTGAATCAATTCTTTTTTCTTCACTTGGATGAGAAAAAGGCTTTACTGTTTATGATATTATTGCAATTCTGAACTCAGACGTTATCTCAAATAATCCATATAAAACCCCTGATTATATTCATAATTTATTATTGATCTCAGATTATTTGAAGTTTAAAGTCAAGAAATCAGAGGCCAATGTCGGAAAAATATAAATTCTAGATTGAAGTCATGAAAAAAAATTAAATCGAGAGTAGAAATCATTGTGAATCGATGTATAACGAAATAAATTTGAATATATTGAATAGAAGAAAGTGATACGAATCATAAAATCGTGAAACAACCAAAAATGAATTGGCGAACTGAAAGTTGGGAGTAATTGTCACGAAATATTGTGAATCATTGACGAGAGCCGTGTTTCAACTGTGTTAGGAGCCCAGTTTAAACTTTGACGGAAGTCAATTTTCAAGTGGCAAAAGCCAAATTTCAACTGTGACGGAAGCCGAGTTCCAGCTGTTACGAGAACATTCATAGAAAGTGTAATTTAATTTCCACCAAGTAACGAATCAGTGCGATGATAACAACCGAATAATCATTGGAAAGAAAGTGTTTGGCTTTCTACCACTCCATCTTGATACAAAAAAAATAGTGGGAAACTTCCAAAGAAAGGAAGAAAGCAATCAATTTCAAAAGTACTAACTCTGTACATAGATATGAATCAATCAAACCGTCATATATGAAAATGTCGTCGATCTCCTTTGAAAATAAACATTCCTGTCAATTTAACGCGTTACACAGCACATAAGTGCTGAGATATTCCTAAATGAAATGGAAACAGATTTTTCAGTAGTCTCTCTTTTAAAGTTTGAATCGCGTTGTATTTTCTGTGGTTCGATTGAATACAGATATAAGTGAGAACAACATCATTTCAATTTTTGCAAAATGTCGAGCAAAGTTTCGACTGTGAAGAGGACCAGTTTCAATTTTGACGGGAGCCCTATTTCATCTGAGACAAGAGACAAGTTTCAACTGTGGCAGGAGCCGTGGATTTCGTGAATGTTTCTTCCAAATATGGTAAATCCGTGGCGGGAGCCAGGTTACAGCTGTGACGCGAGGTGAATTCCAACTGTGATGAGAGCAAAGTTTCAACTGTGACGTGAAGCCCGTTCCAACTGTGATGGGAGCCAAGTTCCAACTGACACAGGAGTTGAGTTTCAACTGATGTGAAAGCTGAGTATCAACTGTGAAGGGAGCTAAGTTTTAACTGTGGTGGGTGCTGAGTTTCAACTGTGAACGGAGCTGAGTATTCAACTGTGACGGGTGCTGACGGGTCCCAAATGATATGCTATTCACTGGCTCGTGTCATCGTTTATTCCTGAAAGAGATGGATATTGAATCATTAATAAATTGGTGGATGTAGCCGTCACTACGTGGTAGGAAATCATGATGAAGAAAAGAGAAATGAAATTTTCTATGTTTTTTACCACTTTTAATTGTAACTAACGTTACTGCAGTTTCATCCTATACGGTGTTACGGTTTCATTTTGTCATTTATTCTGTTTTGAGGTCGACGACTATCTAAACCTGAAATGAATACTTCCTTGAAAGTTTTGGGATATTTTAATACCTCGTCATTCGTTTAGTTCTCATTCACTGACAAACAACTATACAAGGATATATTCGAACGCATTAATTATATTCGAACACATATTCGAATCCCTTTAAGGATTCCGTGCTCCGACGGAACACGGAACGGTGAATTGACGACTTTGGTTCCGTGAATGTCTTGCCGCCGAAATTCAAAATTTGTTGTGATACTTTTGGTAGCCATTTGCTAATTTTCGAGTTTATGTCTAAACTTCTCGATTTTTCGGATTAATCA